AGGTCAGAGGGAAACAATAGAAGGATTTCCCAACTGGCTTACCAAATCCCTGCCAAACCCCACAGTGAAGGAGCACAGGGCACATTCCCGGACCTCCTGAGTCAGTCCATCCTACCCCATGCTGGGAGAGGCATCAGTCCCTTCAGACAGGACTCACACTGGGTCACATGCTCATGCCACCCCAGCGCCTTCACATAGGCCTTCTCTAGCCATTTGGGAATCAAAGCCCACTTTGGTCAACTCCTTCTACCCGAGGCCAGTAACAGTTATTCCTTTGGTGGCCTCCTGTTAAACCAGGGTCTCCTGAAACATGCGTTTTTTTGGTTGGGTGATCCTGCTGTAGAGGACTATGTGTGGGAAACGATCTCTCTACCTTGTTTTCAAAGTTATTCTGTTTGTTAGGTGGTAAATGTTTCTAAAATACCCTGGATTGACATACAGACTACAGAAACACCAAACATCTAAAAAAACATACACATAGGATCATAGTGGCAGTAGAGTGGCAGAGTGACCTTACAGACAGCCCCAAGACTGTCATGTGTCCAGCACAGAAGCTCAGCTCAGCTACAGAAAGATGTTCCAGGAGGCCTGGGGGAAAACTTGCTATTATCTATCATAATGGAGTGAATTAGGATCATCTTCAATCTCTCAATCAGTGCCTGGGCTGACTGTTACCTTCAGTGGCTCTTGCAAAGCTTTTGTACTGGTGCAGTATAAGTCCCAAGTCTCCTTTCTAGACCCTGCTTTCCTTTGCATATTTTTACCTGATTCTTCTCCCACCCACCTGCGTTCTGGACAAAAGAGCTCTCCCTTTACATCTTTCAGTAATTTAATTACCTCTTTGGATTGTCTATTGCTGTCATCCTCCTCTTACCTCTGTCAGTGAGCATCTCCCCATCCTCTGCTACCAATCTCACAACTACCTGTGTGCTCATCTAATCATCCTACAGTGTTTTTGTGCTGTTTGCATATGATAAATCCTGCTGCTGACACGTACTGTTTAACTCCAGGAAGTGTGGCAGAAGACCAGCTTGTCTGAGGCACGTTACAAAAGGGGGAATTGAAAGATCTACTCATCCAGAACCACAGCTGTACAGAAGGCAGTCTCCTCACTTGTGTGCTGAGGAAAGAGCTCATCCCGACATGGTGACAGCAGAGGCCTGCAGTGCGCGTGGGTGAGAGCCCTGGGAAGGACTGGAACATGTGTGATGCAGGAGGAGGAGGGTAAAAGCAGGAGATGGGTACTGGCACATGTCAGCGAGGAAGAGGTGGTTTGGCTTTCTGCAGAGCGTAGGAAGAAAATTATTCCTTCTGTGTGTGAGTGTTGCAAGACCAGCATTGCAGAATAAAGGGATGCTCTGCCTAAGGAGCTAAATTGGCTGCTCTTTGAGCATTAATAGCCTTTCTTTTCTCTTTCCAAAGCTCCTGTCACCAGGAGCTCGCTGACTCCAGCTGTAAGAGAGTGTGAAACATCTAAGATACATTTTGAGTGCTCTATTGCCAACATCTGCCCAAGGCCTCCAGAAGCAGTAGGCACCAGGCCTCAAGCTGTGCATGGCTGCTTGTGTCTAAGCTTAGCTCCCAGCAAAGGCTTTAGTTTGCACTTCTGCTCCTTTGCAAATGTCCCTAGTCCTTGCCCTGCCCTAGCATGCTTCGTTTTTACCAAGTTAAAAAGGAGCCTAAGGCGATGATACCCAGTCCCTGGAATAGAGTTTAAGACCACATTTAGAAATATGGTAGAGCAGCTTGCCAAGCAGCCTCTTCTCTTCAGGGCAAGAGAAAAGGTGCACAGTAGGAGAAGCTGATCCCACATGTGATCTAGTTGGCTTGATTCTAGAAGGAACTGTCTGTCAGCCCTCTTGTGTCGGGAATGGTGCCGAGATCAGACACAAAGCCACTCAGTCAGCAGAGTGACCCAAAACTCAGAAAGGCTCCATTTTTAGGCAGCCCCTTTCCTCCACGCCACTGTGGGATCACACAAACACCAGTGTGAACACTTCAGAGAGGGTGGGACTGCACAGCCAGTGACAAGGCAGAATGGCAGCCACCACCACTCAGGTTGGTCTGAACTGCCCTGAAACAACATCCTGCAAAGAGCATTAGATGAGCAGCAGTCAAGATAGGAACCTTCATCTCCCAAATGAACCCTGCAAATTTTTGCAGTACATTAATTCCTGCTTTACAAGAATGGGCTGGGCTAGCTGGAACACAAGCCTTTACTTCTGACAGGGAAAGATGATACAAGGTCTACAGTAATTTGCATCCAAGCTTAGTTGAAAAAAAATCCATGCAGTCCATATAGCTGTTCTGTTAATAAGACTAGTAAGGTTATTACTCCCTTCTGGCACATAATGGTGGCACATCCTTCACCTCAAAGCATTCATTTTTCTACTTCCCCAAGGGACCATCCACAGCAGAACTTTAAACAGGTTCCCTAAGACAAGAAGACAGTGGTGAAGAAGGATCAGCAGTGAGCAATTAAGATGCCTGATTCAGAATGCACAGTGCTACTCATGCCCCCTTTCCCTCCAGGCATTTTTTTGTTATTTACAGGGTTGACAAAGTGGATACTTGTAGATAATCCATCAAAAAAATTAAAAAAGTAAGCCCATGTGTGTAAGTAGAAAGATGGGAAGAAAAGGAGAGAACAAGAGAATGCAGCAGATCAGGCTGAATGGAAACAGACCCAAAGACATTCAGCCCAGTAAATTAAACCAGGTCCATTTATCACAGAAAACTTTCTGTTTATGTGCATAAGTCTATAATTAGAAAAAAGCCTACTGAGCCAAGCAGCACCAGGGGGCTGGTGTGCAGGAGGGACACCTGACATCAGACAGGAAGGCAGCAGGCAGGTCTGAGTCGATGGTCCTGGAGCAGGGAATCACCATTTGCAAAAGGCAGAAATGCAGTGCTGATAAGCCTGTACTCCCT